CCCCAAAACCCCAAAACCCCAAAACCCCATAAGAAACTTCATGTGTTGAAAGAGTAAATTTAAATTTAGGATTACTGTTAATATGAAATCCCTGATGAACAAGAAAAGGTATAGAAAATTACAGTTGATGGGTACTGATAACTTCTCAGAACTCCCTAAACTAAACAATGAATTAATAAAGTTAAAAGATATTGAAAATTGAGAGGCTTCTTCTCAAATTCAACTACCTCAAAAGGATGGATATTTCTAAATCTAATGAAAAAGGCGGAACCATGTCGATGATTAGTGATCCCTCTGAAGTTTTTACTGAAAGAAAACCCGTCGCAATGTACCAGAATAATTCTTTGCAGGATAAAAACAAGAAATTGGAGCAAGAAAATAAGATCTTGAGGTTAAAAGTCAAAAAGTATTCAGAAAAGAATACCAATATGCGCTCTAATATGAAAAATTGGGACTTCAGAAAGAACCAGCACATTAAAGAAATGGAGGCTTTGCGTAGAGAAAAGTATGCTTGGGAATCTCGCTGTAAAAACGCTGAAAACAAACTGAAAGTGGTCGAAAATCTTGACGAAATTCTCTTTGCAAAGGACCAACTCCAGCATGATCTTTTAGCTTCGAAACATGAAGTAGAAACTCTTAAGAAGAGCAACGAAGGTCAAGTAATGGAGAACGAAAGAATTAAGACGGAATTGCAGTCTGAAGTCATGAAAAAGATCAAGGAATATGAATCTGCTCAGCTAGAAGGGACTGAAATCAGCTTTAAAAAGCTGTTCATGATGATTTACAGAAGAATTGAAAATATGCTCGAATGCCCTATCACTCGGGAGAGGATGAGAAACCCAATGGTGTTACCCTCAGGAAATACAATTGAGAAGTCCTTTATGGAATTACTGATTCCTACTAGGAAGTCTGACCCTTTTGACAAGAACAAAATATGAGATAGAAGAATCCACAATCTTTTTGCCTCCCATATTATTGATATTATGGACGAAACAAAAGAGTATCTCAAAAAGATTAACTCACAGAAAGAGGACGAGGGAGAGGAGATCATGAATCAAGGAGAATATGAGGTCACAATGAGTCACAAGAGGCATGCTGAAAGGGTGAAATTAATCCAATCTAAGAATTTCGGTAAAAATCCGTCACTTCATACTGAGAAAATTGACATCATAAAATCTCGTGGAAGTCAAACCAACGTTCCCTTTAACAAGGTGAAGATAAAGTGAGATCTAAAAGATATCCAAGTCAGTTCATCCAGGATGGAATCTTCTTCAAAAGAGAGGACCAAATCCAAAATAGACAGAAGGGAGGAAACAAAAGAAGCTAAAATTATTGGGAAAGGGGAGGAAAAGGCAAAATCTGGATATTTTCAAAAATTCTCTAAGTCCTCAAAACCCAGAAAAGTTACAGATGCTACAAATGTTATATTTAAAGAACAGAAGATTAATAGAATGTCAGGTGAAGGTACTACTAGAGATGATCCAATGAAGCCTACAGAGTCGAATAAGTCTACCAAGTCTGAACACTCCATGCCTTTGAAGGTTTCTGAGCAGAGACGAATCCAAATCGATCTTGATTCAGCGAGTCTTGAAGAGAATTCTAGAGTGGATTCTTACAATAAATACAAAGATGTTAAACAGAAAGTTATTGACATCATTGGTATTCCAAAAGCAAGGTCACAGATACCCTCAAGACAGAAAAATAGAGCAAAGAGAGAATCTAAGGATCATGAGAAGCCAAGATATTACAAATCAAGACGAAATAAGAGAAAGAGAGCTCCTCCAAAGAAGTCAAGGGAGTATGAAATTTCAAAGAGATCAAGGAGACATGATTGCAGTGCTGTTTATGAGGTTATTGAGAACTCAGAAATCAGTACCAGAACCGGTTTTAACCAGTAATGGCTAAACACGGTCAGAAAATATCTTATGGCTTATAAAGACTCCTTCTAGTGGGTTAGGAGAATAATCTACCTAATTATTTCCTGAGCTTTGATTGGCCAATTTTTCTTCAGGGGTAAATTCAAACTAAAGGACTTCAATATGTTTGGAGGCTAAAGGGGTTTTGGGGTTTTGGGGTTTTGGGGTTTTGGGG